CCGGGGAGTGAAGGCAGTCTAGGGGGTGGGGGTGAGGGCAGCCACTTGACGTTGCATCACAATGCCCCCCTTACCGGATGAGACCCCGCAGCTGTAGTATGAATAACTGTGGAAATTTTTGTCACACGCGCAAACCAAAGAAAACACCGAGATGCGTAACAGCTTATCTTTTATGGGGTCTCTTCGGTTGTTATATCTTCTGAAAGGAAAAGTTATTCATTCTTTAATCAAATCTTCGAAATTGTCTCGAATCGTCTTACCTTCGTTCTACCATATATACTGGCAGCAATTTAGAGACGGTTCTGAATGGAGAAGTAAAGCACCAGACATCAAAATGGAAAATAGCGGCATAGCGGGACAGGGACGTATAAGTCCTGTGACGGTTCCAGCGTTTATTCCCGTTCTGGATGGTAAGAATAACTATGTGCATCCAGTCCAGTTTAATATGCAATCGATAACTTTTTGTTATACAAGATTTTCTGAACAGATGGTGTTACTTGGAAGAAGATTTTTGTCGTGGCTATTCTGCTAGCAGTGAACTTGTTGAACTATATGGACCGTTTCACGATAGCCGGATTGCTAGGAAGGCTCCAGGATTACTTCCTCCTGAACGATAAAGAAGCAGGAATGCTGCAGGTATGTGTATCACAATTTGCATTGGTTTGTTGTTGTCATATTTATTAGTTTTTTTTTCAGACAGTTTTCATTGTCTTCTTCATGCTGTTTGCTCCTATATGTGGATATTTTGGCGATCGATATAATCGAAAGTTTATTATTATAGCTGGTCTTATAGTATGGATAAGCGGCGTAATGCTGTCGACATTTGTTGGACGTGATGTTCGTTTTGCCTCAAAATTCCTAATGGGTTTAACTATACTGTATAGGTGACGTTATGAAGCCGAGTCTGAATTCCTTTCTTCGCTTTCGATTAAACAAAGTACAATTAAGCAAGATCTCGACGTTATGATTCACGCAGGATAATAAATCTTACACTTGGAAGACCTCACCTTTTCAGCATTTCTTTGTGTTTCTCTTTCTACGAGGAGTTGTTGGTATTGGTGAAGCTACATATTCGACAGTAGCTCCTACCATAATCGGCGATCTCTTCTATGGTCCCATGAGAAGTATTGCACTGATGGTGTTTTATTTTGCCATACCCGTTGGCAGGTGAATTTTGTATAGATCGATGCAGTAAAACATTGCTACGTGAAAAGATTTGTCCATTTCAGTGGGCTAAGGATTATCGGTGGCTCATCCATCGCCTTGTGGACTGGTAGCTGGCAATGGGGTGTCAGGTAGGGAATTTTCTACTTTCCTTCCCTTTATTACTCAAAAGGAATGTCGCTTGTCCTTTTGAGCCGTTTTACGCGGTAGCTCATTTCATTTTCTTGCCTTAATACGTGGGTTTCTGGAAAAATTTGAAAAATATATCCTTCTATTATATAAAGCGCTAACTTTGTGTGTCGGTTTGTGTATCTGTATGTGTGTGTGTGAGTGTGTGTGTGTGCGTGTGTATGTATGTGTGTCCGTCCGCAAAATGAAGTGAGTGAGAAGGAAGCTCATGGGATAAACAAACCGCTAACAAATCGGGTAGCTTACAGGATTTGAGATATCAATGTTTTGTAGCAGGATAGTTGTGATAACACTCTTAGGGCTATATAAACACCTGCTTAGCACACTTCCGTTCATTCCACATGGTGCTGCAGTGGCAGCTGGAGGGCAGTGGAGAGAGGAAGGGAGGATGAGGAAGGGAAGCGAAAAATCTACCGTCATATCATGATTGTGTCCCTTCTACTGTATGAAACACCATTGTGTTGCATACGCGTCACTTCCAGGAGGTGTTGGTGTCACAGGAGGAAGGGACCATAGCGGAGGATAGAAAGCTTGCGCAGGAAAGGAAGGTCCCGGCGGTTGACGGGGGACTAACTGGTGTATAATAAAGCAATAGAAGTTAAACGCCATGAAGCTTTCTACTAGCGCATTAAATTCACAACTCATTGCCTTGTCGTCATCGATTTGTTGCAATTACTACCCTACTTCAGGTTTACCCCTTTGATCGGCGTGCTGTTCTCTTATCTTTATCGTTTTTGGCTGGAAGAGCCAAAACGTGGGCAGGCAGAACACGCCCAGATTGAACCGAGCACGTTGTTGCAGGACCTGAAGTACCTGATTAGTGTGTAAGTGATTGGTGGTAGATTCCTCAGTGTTTTATAAACTTTTCCTCTTTTGCAGAAGAACATATGTTTTGACGACGTTTGGATTACAAGCGTCGTCTTTTGCGTTGGTGCTGCAAGTTGGTGGACACCACAGTTAATGACTTACGCGTATGGCATTCAACACGGTATTGATGATGTCCCAAAGGATGAAGTGGCGCAGTTAGTTAGTATGTTTACGTTTGCTCGTTTCTGTGTGCTGAAAAATTACTTTTGCAGTCTTTCGGTAATATTCGGAGCGATTACATGTTGTGCTGGAATCGTCGGAATAATTGCTGGATCTACGATAGCTCAGGTTTGACCATTTTTGTCTTCTAAAATTGAAGCGCGAGGAGTGACTGAGAGGTGGTGCTCTTTACACCACACACCAGGTTAAGAGTTTTAAGTCTCGCACAGGCTAACTATGTCTTCTTGCGAAGATGATGATCTGTTTCCGTGCTTGCCTGGAGGATGAAACACTGGCTTGTACAAAAGTTAGCTCCCTCAGGTCATTCTTTGAGGCAAATTGCGTTCGAATATCACTACGGTCCTCAATATAAGCACTGATGACCTGATTTTCAGTAGTCTTGGTTTTTTTTTTGGAGGGCGTAGCGCTTTCAAAATACTATGTTAGGGTCAAATGCGTAGTGACTGTTTTTTAATGAAATTACTGTTCACGTCTAAACAAATTTTCAATAATAGGCCGTGGCGATACGAGAAACTGGTGCTTTCGAGCTTCGCACCGCGCTGATGCGTTCGTTTGTGCGGCTGGATCCTTTCTCGCAGCTCCGTTACTGTTCACTGCTCTAATGGTCGCGAGCCAATCTCTCAATTATGCTTGGGTTCGTTGTTATAGAGTTTCATTATGTAATATCTCTCATCTGGGGTAATCCATTTTTATCCAGCACATATCTTATTATACAATTCTTAGGTATTGTTATTCCTGGGAGTTACATTGCATGTGCTTCAACTGGGCGTTGAACATGGATATGCTCATGGTAGTACAAAAATTTGGTCTTTCTTGTTTTCATTTCTTTTCTGTAGGGTCCTTTGAATCATTTATTAATATCTTCTATGCAATTTTTTCAGCATGTGATCGTTACACATCGCCGCGCTCTGGTGCACCTTGCCATTCAGACGCTGATAGGACATCTATTTGGTGATGCTTCATCGCCGTACATCATCGGTTTCATTTCGGATGCTGTGCGAGGTCTGCTGGGTTTTCTCATTAGTATGTACGACATTTGACCAAATCAAGCAAAAGAAATCTTAAGGTGATCAAACTTCTTCAATGGCCAAGTACCATGCGTTGCAGTATGCAATGTTTCTTCCAAATGCTGTTCTTATTCTCAGTATTGGGTGTTACCTCTGGGCTACTTTTTACATCGTTGCTGACCACCATCGGGCGAAACAAGAAATGCACGGTAAATATTCTTATTGTATTTGTGATGACTTTTTTCTTATGATACTCTAGTTTGACAAACATTTCCTTTTTATTTGTGATGTCTTTCTCTTAATTGGCATACGTAAAGTGATTTTTCCTTTTTTGACGACGATTGTTTTAAGTGGATGATGAGTGGGCCAGTGATGTTGAGACATTGATAGCCAATGTTCAACCCGGACAAGACGAAGGAATAAGCAATATATTGTACGAGTGATAGAAACTGCTTCGTTGGACTTGTTCTGCGGATTAGCTACTCATAGAAGTCGCCGTGAGTTTGCAGTTCATTTGACATCGTTCTTCCTTAAAATTCAGAAAAACCAAATCAAACACGTTCCATGTATTTTGGTTCTATTTGTGCTCCCATACTGCTGTTTCAGTTTTATGCAGTTTATTGAAATTTCTATCTTCTCATCATCTGATCTGTTTTTTAAAGTTTTCCCAATTCCAGACTTCTGCGTGAAACCAGTTGGTGCCTGCATTTCTAGCGCTTTCCATGACCGAAGACGCAATTGCCTTACAGCGGGTAAAAATAAGGTGTCGGTGTGTTTCCACTGCTCTAACTGCTTCTGTTTCCTTTTTTCTTGTATCGTCATGCTTGCCGGACTAGCATGTTAATATTTGAAATAACATAACTTTGGAGAATTTGCTCACCCTAGCCATTGTAAAGAACTAGCACATACGTTGTTCATAGTATTGTGATACTTACAAGTGATTAATTTTCTTTGTATTTTCACTCAGACCTTTCAATCCTAAGTGCTCCTTTCATGTTTACCAAATTCCATGTGAAACACTACTGCATCTTTTACCTCACGCTTGAATATTTCAAATTTATATTTTGTACAGACAGCGCGGAATACTCCGCGTTTGTGATGTTGTACATCACAATTAAACCTTGGTCTAATAAAAATTCGAATTTTGTTCTGTTTTCACGTATCCAATGTTCGAAGCTGTGTATTTTACGAATATTTTATTGTAACTAAGTTTTCATTGCCTGTTCCAGTGCTCATTCTACTTTTATGTAGGTGTATGCAGAACCGGCAAACACAGTCGGTTCACGCATCGAACAAGGAGCACGGTATGAATTTTCCATTTTCACGTGTTTTTTTTTTATGTGGCTCTTCTTATTTTAATTTATAGAAAAAAATTCGTCAAAAATGTTTTATGAAGTGTTTCCATATTAAGATTGTTATGATTCGGAGCTGCACCTGGACAATGTGCTCAAAACATCTGTCATTTCTTCGGATTAACATAGATAGTGTATTGCTTCCTGAAGAAAATACATTCATTGAACGGCTGTATAATGAAGGATCACTTTATGTAGCTAATTTCAAAAATTGTTAAGAGTGATTTTTTTTTCTATTTAGGTTTAACCTGGAATATCATTTCCTTGCCTCGAAAATGTTTCACGATCGCTCAAAGCTCCAGTTCGAATACCAGCCAAGAGTTTCACCATGACTAACATACAATTCCGTCATAGAAGAGTCGTTCTTCTGCAAATGAATCCTGAAATTATTCCCTTTTGGAATCGCCACCACCTTGTCATACGGCTGCATGTTCAACTAAATACTCGTGGAAAGTTCTCGGCAAGTTGTTTTTGAACCTCGTCGAACTCTTCGAGTAACTCTTGTGAGGTGCGTGCGAGAGAACACGTTTGCTCGGTCACTGTGTCGTTCCACTTGCCTGAGCTTCTCATTCCGCCTTTTATGATTTGCCGAGATTTTAATTTCATCCCTGCCAAAGGAATGACATTTGAGGGTTCTTCGCTAGTACGTGTTTGTTTGTGATGATTTTGACATTCCTGTTTGAACTTATGGATAATTCATTACTTGGTGCCATTCTTCAAGATGTTTCTAGATTCGCATCGACTTGGGAACTCGTGAGAGGAAGTTGAGCGAAAAACTCAATGAACTCAGAGATCCATTACTGGAATCAACATATGTGGTTGATGGTGTCAGGTATGGATTCCCTCTTTTCTATTTTAGTTACTTTTTGAGTCGTTACGATGGGTTAAGCAGCGAACGCGATTCTGGAAGTCGTAATCGATCAAGAGGTGTTTCGCTGGATCGTGCACTCCAGCAGACTAATGAAAATAGGCCCCCTCCACGTACTCTGCCCTCTGGTGAGTGCCCTTCGCTGCATTGTTTTCCAAATCCTAATTCGAAGCTGCTATTTTTAGAAGCGTACCCTGCCCACGGCAGAGCTGACAGACATCTACAACGCAGTGTTGCCTCACGTGAGTATTGACCTATTCTTTCATATTGGAACCACTCGAACCTTTCGTTTTCAGACCATATTCCAAAAGCAAGACCAGCGCCGTTTCGTGAGAGAGTCCCTTCAAATCTTACTGACTTATCCGATTCGGTTTTGAAGACCAAGCCATTAATTATGGAACTTCTCGCCCGCATGCTTTGGGTTTCGATTCCCGGCGTGCACACGCGTTGGATTCTCACCGGGAATTTCGCCCTGCAGTGCGCTCCAGTACATCGTCAAGTGTCAAGGAGAGAGAACGAGAGAGCCCCCGGAGCAAATGCCTCATCCAACTCACTGTGCATGAGGCTCGCGGACTTCCACCTGTACGGGATGAAAGGTAGCTTTTGTTGCTGAGATTGATTTCCATTTTTTGTGAGAAAACGCGTAATGAAATTGCTTTCAGAAATCGGTTTGTTTCTCCTAATGCATATGTTTCTGTGTTGGGAAGAGACGGTGAACTTCGCTCGTCAGTTTGTGAGCGTTCTCGCCGTCCTCTTTGGAACTGGACGGCACGATTTTATATTTGTGGAGAGCGCCGTAACATAATAGTGAAGATACTTCATCACGATATCAGTGGCGATATGGTGAGATTAGAATCGTTTGATTGACAGTTGTTTCGAAGGATAAGTTTGCTTGATTTCTCAATAACTTTCTAGTTACCGTATGGTGCATCAGACATCCTC